CAAACCTCAGCCAACACCAAGTGTGGAGTATGACAACCTGTGGTGTGGCCCCAGCGAGCAACACAGTTCCAGCGAGCAGGAAACTTAGACATGCCACCACCAGGTCACTGCAGCAACGCCACAATGAAGGGAAGGGGAAATAATACAGTAACAAAAACATACAAATGTAGGAGAAATGCCCAGAAATGGAAAGAAAAAAAAGTAAAAAGTAGACACGGCTAAAACTCTGCACAACAACACCCAGGATGGCTAAAAATCTGCACACCAACACCCAGACCTCCGGGACCAGCCACCACCATGCTGAGACCACTCTCCGCACACATGAAGGTACTGGCAGAGGGACAATGCCACGCGGGTTCCGGGGCCGAGACCTCCAAGCCTACTCGAATTGGAGTCGAGCATCTTCCACCCAGATCCTCCAAATTCCAGTAGGCGGGGGTCACACCCACCACCTGGCCCCCTGGCGCCATGTAATCCCATCAGCGGCCAAGACTCAGAGACAATAAAATCCAGATCCCGGAACCGCGCGGCCTCATTCGCGGCCGCGCGACATCTTATTACCTCATTCCTACTTTGGACAAACTTGCAGGCTATCCAAATGTAGCCTGCCCACAGGGCAGAGTCTGGCAAACTCCCCGTGGCCTACCAAATATGCCAAATACCAGTAACAATGATGGGTCTCATTCTCATAAAGAGCCATGAATATCATCTCAGGGCTAGGATGAAAGAGATGTTACTGGGGCCTGCTCGAGGCAATCGACGATCAACAGGATGATGAAATGAAAAAAAAAAAACACCCAGTAAATCTTTAGCTGAATCCTGAACTGTGCGCCCACAAACATCTCAATACAGCTCATAGAGGAACCTGTAGCTGGAGGAACAAAAGAACTGAGCACAGATTTGAGCTGCCCACAAAAGGCACCACGGAGTTTCAATCCTGCCAAGCAAGGTAGAATTGCTTGGTAAAGACTCGGGGCATTCTATTAAAATCCCAGGAGCAGGACACCTTTGAAAGAAGCTTCATATTCTGAAACTAAGGGGTATGCCCTAGAAATCAGAGGAAGCCAAAAGTAGACTCACACTAAAGAAGAGTAAAGCCAGGCAGTCACAAGATCAAGACTTGTGTCTTTATCTGTGGACGTGTGAGTGTGGGGGGGGGGGAGGGGAGTTACTCTTTAGAACAACACAACAGAGTAACTCTTTAGAGCAACACAACAGAATTCAGTCTCTAGAATGTACATATGCAGTGGACAATCACTGTATCACTGTCATCCCATTGTTCACCAATTTACTTGAGCGAGCGCTAGTAACGTCTCCATTCGTCCCAGCCCTGAGATTTTAGCAGCCTCTCCTTACTCGTCTTTCCCAACGCTGCCATATTGGAGACTCTTTCAGGGTCAGGGGAATGAGACCCATTATTGTTACTGTTTTTGGCATATCGAATACACCACGGGTAGCTTGCCAGGCTCTGCGTGTGGGCAGGATACTCTCGGTAGCTTGCCGGGCTCTCCGAGATGCATATATATATATGGAGACGTTACTGGGCCCGCTTGAGCAAATCGACGATCAACGGGAGGGCCTTTACCTATATATATATATATATATATATATATATATATATATCTGTCTGTCCTCCCGTTGTTCGTCGATTTGCTCGAGTGGGCCCAATAACGTCTTCATTTTGAGACTTGTTGTTACTGTGTTTGGCGCATCGAATACGTCACGGGTAGCTTGCCAGGCTTTGCCATGTGAGCGAGATACTCTCAGTAGCTTGCCAGGCTCTCCGATATATATATATATATATATATATTTCCTCTATGATTTTTTGCCTACTGTCTGAACCCCATCAAATATGGTGTGGTAATTATGAAAAATGGGTAGGGAGTGTCTTTTTTTTTAAATTTTTATTAGTGAAACACCATGAGGTACAGTTGTAGACTTACAAATTTTTGTGCTTGGGTTTCAGTTATACAGTGATCGAGTATTCATCCCTCCAACAGTGCCCATTTTCCACCACCACTGATCCCAGTATCCCTCCCACCCCCCATCCCCTCATCCCACCCTGCCTCTGTGGCAGGGCATTCCCTTTTGTTCTCTCTCTACTTTTGGGTGCTGTGGTTTGCAAAATAGGCATTGAGTGGCAATCATATTCAGTCTATAGTCTACTTTCAGCAATGCATCTCCCATCCTGCGAGGATCCTCCCAACACCCTTTATTTGGTGCTCCCTTCTCTATCTGAGCTGCTTTTCCCCCTAGCGTGTGGTTGGCCTCCAAGCCATGGAGTGAACCTCCTGGTACTTATCTCGGCTGTTCTTGGGGTAGGGAGTATCTTATGATGTGTCGCAGCCGCGTGGTCCAGGAATATATTCATGCATATGTGAGGCTTGGCCTGAGTACGTGGAAAGCGGCCTGGAGCCTGGTGGCGGTTGGGTAGTGGAGGTCGGCTGCAGGGGCTGGGTCCCACCCACGGTGAGGGCTCTCACCCGCCCCCCTCTGGGGCGCCCAGAATGAAAACAGCCTAGCACAGAGTCCGGTGTCATGGTTATGGGGGCCTCATTTTATGCTCAGTGGACAATAAAAGCCAATAAACATGCGAAGCAAATAAAGGAAAATGGATCCATAACGAAAGCGAAAAAGAAATAAATAGAAACAGAGTCAAAGGAACCCAGACGTTAGATTTAGCAATCAGGGATTTCTCTAACTCCATGTTAGAGGAAAGGGCAGGAAGAAAGCTTGTCTTGCATCTGGCTGACCCAGGCACCCCCTATGGTCTCCTGAGCCTGCTGCGTCCATGAGGAGTGAGCCCTGAGCCCAAAGCCTGGAGTAAACCCTGAGCACTGCTGGGTATAGCCCGTAATTCTGAAAAAAAAAAAAAAAAAAAGCCAGCATTTACAGGAAAGATAGATTATATTTGAGTTGAGGGGAAGGAATTAGAGGAATTTGGAGATGTTGGGAAAGAAATGAATGGGAAATCTAGAAATTAAAAATATCTGAAATAAAAATAAATATGAGTTGGGGCTAGAGAGATAATTCAGAGTCTATGGAGCTTGCCTTGCATCTGGCTGACCCTGATTCAATCCCCTGCACCACTCATGGTTCCCTGAGCAGCACTAGGAGTGACCCCTGAGGACAAAGCCAGGGGTAACCATGAGCATCCCTGGGTGTGACCCCAGAACAATGTCCCCTGAGCACTTTAGCAGAGGGAGAGCAACCGCCAGCACAGAGCCAGGAATGGTTTCGCTTCCTCCCCTCAACCTCCCACCAACTCCCAACCAGGGCTGTGGCCCAAAACCCAGGAACAAACGAACAAAAACCAAAAACCACAAAAACTATAAAACTCAGATGAAAACAGACATAAATCTGTGTCTAACGTAGACAATAATTCTTTCCGTATAACACCAAAAGCACAAGCCATGAAGGAAATATAGATGAAATTAGATGTCATCCATCTGCAATTCTCTGTTTATTGCAGCACTCTTTACAATAGCCAGAAGCTGGAAAAAACCTGAGTGCCCAAGAACAGATGACTGGTTAAAGAAACTTTGGTATATTTACACAATGGAGTACTATGTAGCTGTTAGAAAAGAGGAGGTCACGAAATTTACATACAAGTGGTACTACATGGAAAGTATCATGTTAAACGAAATGACTCAGAAAGAAAGGGATAGACATAGGAAGATTGCATTCATCTGGGGAACATAAAGGAACAAAATAGGAGACTAACACCCAAGAATGGCTGAGATTAGTACCAGGAATTTTACTCCATGGCTTGGAGGCCAGCCACACGTGCTAGGGGAAAAGGGAGCTCAGATAGAGAAGGGAGCACCAAATAAAGGGTGTTGGGAGGATCCTCCCAGGATGGGAGAAGCATGCTGAAAGTAGAAAATAGACCAAACATGATTGCCACCCATTGCCTCTTTTGCAAACTATAACACCCAATAAGAGAGAGAGAACAAAAGGGAATGCCCTGCCACAGAGGTAGGGTGAGATGGAGGGATGGGGGGTGGGAGGGATACTGGGATTCGTGGTGGTGGGAAATGGGCACCGGTGGAGGGATGGGTATTTGATCATTGTATAATTGAAACCCAAGCACAAAAATGTGTACGTCTGCAACTGTACCTCATGATTTCTCACTATTAAAATTGTTTTTAATAAAAAAAAAGAAATTAGACGTCATCAAAATTTTTAATGTAAAGACTTCAAAGAAACACCATTAAGACAGCGCATAGACTGGAAAGAGTTTGGCAAATCATATGTGAAGAGGTATGGTAAACCTGCAATCTATCTTTTAAAGATGCCTGGAACTTCGTAGTAAGGACATTTTAAAAAGGAGTTGCAGAGAATAGAAGCGATAGGAATTGGGTGCTGGTGGCCCTGGGCTGGGAGGACTTTGAGACAGAGAGGCCACAGGCGGGTCCAAGCCCCTCAGTCCCTGTCTGCAGGACTGCAGGGGAATTGGCCTCACTGGGGCCTTCCTGCGGACAGTGGTCACGGTCACGCTGGGAGCGGTCAGCAGGCAACTGCTCTGAGGAGAAACCGGGAAAGTCGGTGGAAAGGACCTTGGGGTGTTCCACACGGGCTGCAAATCAGCGTTGGGGCGTTTCAGGAGAGGCCGGGGGTCTGCGCAGAGCTCCCGGGGGAGGCTGCGGACTCTAGCGTGGACTCGCAGGCCTAGGTGGCCAGATGTGTTGCAGGTGATAGGACTAGGGCCAGAAGGACGGTGCGGGGTCCTGGAGGGCCCCTCGAACGGGGATCTCTGCCTCCCCGCCGGGCAGCCGGACCTTGGTCTCCGGCCGGAACCCCGACGGCTGCTCCAATCCCCTATTTCCTCCCTAGCCTGGGCCTCGCAGGGCTTGGCAACCTGGCGCAGGGTGGGCTCGGCCGTCCGAGGGGGAGGAGCTGGACGCAGGGCCGGGTCCTTCCTCCCCGGCAATCTCAGGTGACGGCCCCCGCCGGCCCCGTCCCGCCCCGCCCCGCCGCTTATTCTGGCGGCCCGGCCCCCAGAGTCCGAGAGCTGCCAGCACCGTGAGCCTGTGCCGTCGGGGCGCGCGTCCCCGGCTCCGTCCAGCGCCCAGCCGCCGACCCCATGGCCGCCCCCCGCAGCCTCCTCGTGCTTCTCCCGGTGCTCGCGCTGGCCCAGGCACAGATCGTAAGTGCCCCCCGTGCGCGGGGAGCCCGTGTGAGGGATGGGAGGCTCCGGGGATACGGGGCTCGGCGGGTGTCCCACCCGGGGCGCATCTTGGGACAGTGGCAGGACGCGAGGGGTCACTCCTGCGTAGGCGCACGCGTGGGGCTCCCTCCCGCACGCAGAACCAGGCCCGGGAAGCGGGAGGGTCCGTGTCCCGAGATGCTCGGCCCTGCCCCCGACAGGCAGCGGGGCAGGAGCTGGCGCCGCGTCCTGGCAGCGCGGCGGGCCCAGGTGGCCGGCACACAATGGTGACCATTCACCGGCCGCGGGGGCCTCCGCCCCGCCGGCTCCCAGGGGCGCCCAGGGCAGCCGCCGCCGCCGCCGCCGCCGCGTCCTTGCCCGCTGCGCGCTAGCCGCGGTGGTGGGGGTCGGGGGCGCGTGGGGGACCCCAGGCTGGGCCAGCCCAGAAACACACCGCACGCACGAAGTCCGGGACGGAGGAAGGAGCGGCCCTGGGAGAGAGGGGTGCTCCGAGAGAGGAGAGAACAGGCCTCCGCGGCCGGTGCCCCCCATCCTCTTTCCCTTCGGGGTTCACCCGCGCCAGGCGCAGGGAGAGGCGCGGACCCTCACTCGGCTGCCCCGCATCAGTGTCTGTCATTCGCTGATAATCACACGAGCGGGCGTTCCCCGACGGCCGCCCCCTTCCCGCAGCCCCTTGCCCTTTCTCGGGCCCCCCAAGGCATCTCCATCTGCGCCTCCGCAGCTCACGCTCTGCGCCTTCTCGAGGTTTCGGGGCCCGAGGGCTCTCCCGGGGCCCGTCGCCCGGTTCCGAGCACGGAACCTGGTGGGGACACGGTCGGTGCGCTGGCTCAGTGGGCGCCCAGCGGCGGTCCGTGCGGAGGGACAGCGCACCCGGGACGCACAGCCCTCCCCCCTGCCCCCCACCAGCGCTGCCTGAGCCGCACCCCTGCGTTTGTTTGCAGAGAGGCCCGCCAGGAGAGCCTGGACCCCCGGGACCCCCGGGGCCGCCGGGAGTGCCCGGATCGGACGGAATCGACGTGAGTGTCCAACCAGGACCGGCGGCAGGGGAGGAGGGGGCTGGCGGCAGGGGGGGAGGCGCCGGACAAAGGGGCCCTTTGTGAATTTGCGGGGGTGGGAGGGGGTGTGACCGAGGGGTGGGCGCCTGGACGTGCAGCGCCCCCTCTTGCCCGCAGACGGCGCGGCGGGCTTCACAAGGAACCTTTTTGTTGCTGCTCGAGGCCGAGCCCCTTAGAGCCGGCCCGGGACAAGGGGCCCGCTGTGGCCGAGGCCGCCGCAGCGCACAGCGATTCCTTATCCGTCTCCTGCTCCCCGGGTTTTGGAGGGTGGGAGACGCCTTAACCCCTCCCCGGGCCCTCCCCGCCTGGCACGTCTCAAGGCGTCTTCAGGGGAGCCTGGGCCAGACCGCGGTCCTCCCGGGCCCACCCCTGTCCCTGTCTCCCCGCATAGCGTTTTTCTCCTGGTTTAGACTCTGCGGGGTTAATGCCCTGCTCCCCCAGCACGCTGAGGGTTAAGTACCTCACTCTGGAGCTTGGGGCCAGCCCCATCTGGACTCACTTTTCTGCTCAGCCTGTGCCCGCACCTCCAGCACCCCACGCTACCCCCACCCGCGGGTCCCCTCCCCCGTCTCCCCACCCCACCCCTAAGCGCTGGCTGCTGCAGGAACTGCCTGGAGCGCCCGACCGGCCAACAGAGGGACGCTGCTGTCCCCTGCCTTGCCCCCGCCCCAATCTCGCTGTCCTGAAGAGAACCCAGTAGAGAGCACTGCAGGAGGATAGCCGCCCCCCCCCCCCCCAACACACACACACACACGCACTCGTGCTTCCTTCTCACACTTGCCAGATCCAAGAGGCACCATCTCTTGGAGCTCGCTCGGAGCCTATCTGCCGTGGCATAGCTGGCACCCCACACTGGCATATCTCAAACCCACTGGCCTGTGCGCGCTGCCCTCAGCAGCTTGGCTAGGGCAGACCGCACTATGGGGCATGTGGGTGCTGCTTAAAGGATCGTTTCTTTCTTAAGTGCAAGGCTGGGGGTTGGGGGCGCTCCCAAGACCACAGAGCGCATGAAGAGAGGAGTGAATGGGAGCAGCCCCCCACCCTGTGCCTTCAGACCGGGCAGTGTGAGCCCTCACCGCCTTCTCACCACCTGACTCTTACAGGGTGACAAGGGCCCCCCTGGGAAGGCTGGACCACCGGTGAGTGTTGGGTCCCTTTCTCCCTTTTGGCCCTGTGGATCTGTCCCCTCCTTCTTGCTGATGTCAGCTCTGCCTCTATCTTCAAGGGACCTAAGGGAGAGCCCGGCAGAGCCGGACCAGACGGCCCAGATGGGCGGCCCGGCATGGATGTGAGTAGCCGTCTGTGGGGGGTCGGGCAGCTCACGGCTCCCCCCTTGCCTCCAGGCCTGGGGCTGGCGTCTTCCTTGCTCTCCGGCGCCCAGCAAGGCAGCGGGACAGAGCTGTGAGTGCTCCCACCGGCTTCCTAGGGCTTGTGACCTCAGCAAACCTCACACCTATCCCAGGAGCATTGGGTCATAGGGAAATGGAGTCCTGAGAGATCGCTTTGGCTCAGTCAAGAGCTAGCCTTACTTCTCTGCCCCACCCAGGGGCCAATCTGAACCCACTAGGCGCCATGAGCTTACAGCTCCAACCACTCTCCTGTCTTCCCTGTGCCAGCCCTGACCCAGCTCAGAGAGAAACAGGGTTTGGTACCATTGCAAAGTCTCTGGGGGTCTGTGGTCAAGGGCCTGAGTGCAGCCATTGGGACAGTCTTCTAAAGGAGGGATCCCTAAGGTCCATCACTGAAGGAAGGAGGAGGAAGCTACCCCCTGAGTTGTCTTAGCCCTACTGGTTCAGGAGTACCTCTGAGTTCCTCCAAACACATCCACACCTTGTAAAGCTGACCTGTGTTCTTACATTCACCAGGGGGATGAACGTGACTATGAGCCCATTTTACAGATTGAGAAACCCAGGTTCAGATAGAGATGCCAAGGGCAGACAGGAAGGGTATGGCCACCCCCAGGCCTCCATCTCATCTGAGCTGGGAGGCACGAGCCTGGGGATGAACAATCTTCCAGCTTCCAGTGTAGGGAAGCTCTGCCAACTTGTTCCCTGGGGTTCCTGAGGGTGGGGGAAAATGACGTGTGAGGTTACCCGATCTTTCTGGAGCTGGGTGGAAGGCAGCCAGAGCCGGGCAGGGAAGCCCCTGGACCTGCCCTGCTGTGGGAGCTGGGGGCCAGGCACCGGCTGCCCTTCCTGGTTCCTACCTTCTCTTTCTTCCCCAGGGCCTAACAGGAGCCAAGGGGGAGCCTGGCCCCATGGGGACCCCAGGAGTCAAGGTACATGGCCTGCTGGGACTCTTGGCGAGTTTGGAGGTGGGGAGGGGCTCAGGTTGAGAGGACCCCGCTGTTGAACTGTCCCCATTTCTCTATCAGGGACAACCTGGGCTCCCAGGTCCCCCCGGCCTGCCGGTGAGTGTCACCTGCAAGGAAGTGTGTACGTGGTGGTGGTGGGGGGGCCTGATGAAGGAGGCCTGAACCTCATCTTTCCCTCTGTTCCAGGGCCCTGGCTTTGCTGGACCTCCTGTAAGTCCTTAGGGGAGGGGGAGGGTCTGGGGAGAGCTGCCCGCTGAGGAAGGGTGGGAATGGGCCAGCCCTTGTGGCCTGGCCACTTGCCCTAGGAGTGTCTGGAACTTCGAGTGCTGGCCCCCTGGGTAACTATGGGATATTCTGGTACCTACTCCTATCTCTGCTTGGCGTGGGTCAGCCCTCTGGACACTGGCCAGTGACCACTCTGCTCTTAGGGGCCCCCAGGACCTGTTGGCCTCCCTGGTGAGATGGGACTGACAGGCCCCAAGGTAAGTCCACACCCTTGGGGCTGGTAGCTGGTATCTGCTGGGGTTGTGGGGCCCATTTCTGGCCGGGCAGAAACTCCTTCTGGAGACCCTGGGTGGGTCTCGTAGGGAAGCACAGGTAGTGGCTGAAGCCACCTCCACTGAACAGGTCCTGGTTTCCCCTGAGATTCCAGCTCTCAGGAGGGCAAGGGGCAGGACCTGAGGGGAGCAGGAATTGGGGAGGGGGCAGGGGTGAGCCAGGTTGGTATATATGGGTGTCATTTGGGCCACTCTTACTAACAGGGAGATCCTGGACCAGAGGGACCAGAGGGCCCCCCAGGGCCCCCCGGGAAACCGGTAAGTGAGCTCCCATCTGGCTATGCAGCTGGGAAATTCTTGGTGGGGTGAGCCCAGGATGAGGAGGGCTCATAACCCTGTCCATCTTTACCCATCTCCCCTCAGGGCCGGCCCGGAACCATCCAGGGCCTGGAAGGCAGTGCGGATTTCCTGGTGAGAGGCTGAGATGGGGGGCATCCATGGGAGGATGACGATCAAGGAGATGATACGCCCAGGGAGGAAGGTTGCCCAGTGAGAGAGGTTGTCCAGGGAGAGAGGTTGTCCAGGGAGAGAGGTTTTCCAGGGAGAGGTTGTCCAGGGAGAGGTTGTCCAGGGAGAGAGGTTGTCCAGGGAGAGGTTGTCCAGGGAGAGAGGTTGTCCAGGGAGAGAGGTTTTCCAGGGAGAGGTTGTCCAGGGAGAGGTTGTCCAGGGAGAGAGGCTGTCCAGGGAGAGGTTGTCCAGGGAGAGAGGTTATCCAGGGAGAGAGGTTGTCCAGGGAGAGAGGTTGCCCAGGGAGAGAGGTTATCCAGGGAGAGAGGTTGTCCAGGGAGAGAGGTTTTCCAGGGAGAGGTTGTCCAGGGAGAGGTTGTCCAGGGAGAGAGGTTGTCCAGGGAGAGGTTGTCCAGGGAGAGAGATTGTCCAGGGAGAGAGGTTTTCCAGGGAGAGGTTGTCCAGGGAGAGGTTGTCCAGGGAGAGAGGTTGTCCAGGGAGAGAGGTTGTCCAGGGAGAGAGGTTGTCCAGGGAGAGGTTGTCCAGGGAGAGAGGTTGCCCAGGGAGAGAGGTTGTCCAGGGAGAGAGGTTGTCCAGGGAGAGAGGTTATCCAGGGAGAGAGGTTGTCCAGGGAGAGAGGTTGTCCAGGGAGAGAGGTTGCCCAGGGAGAGAGGTTATCCAGGGAGAGAGGTTGTCCAGGGAGAGAGGTTATCCAGGGAGAGAGGTTATCCAGGGAGAGAGGTTGTCCAGGGAGAGAGGTTGCCCAGGAAGAGGTTGCCCAGGGAGAGAGGTAGCCTGCAGAAAAAGATTCCTCATAGCATGTCAGTGGGAGGAGAGGGGCCACGGCCGGGAGGGCGGGAGGCAAGATGGTACACCCTGCCCAGTGGGTCTGGGGCAGACCAATGACCATGGATCACGGGGGACTTTCTTTCTAGTGTCCAACCAACTGTCCTGCGGGCGTGAAAGGCCCTCCGGGGCTGCAGGGAGTGAAGGTGAGAGTTTCCTCACCTCCGGGGGCCAGAGGAGGGGAGGCAGGTGATGGGGCCAGCCCGCACTGAGCTTTCCCCTTCCCTTCAGGGGCACCCCGGCAAACGTGGTGTTCTGGGAGATGCTGGCCACCAGGGGAAGCCGGTGAGTGATGACTGGGAGCAAGGCAAGGCTAATGGGAGAATCTGGGGCGGGGTGGGGGGTGTTCATCTTCGCCCCTATCGCTCCCCTGGGCGTCTCTGGAGATGGAGCCCAGAGCTGAGGCAGGGGCCTTGGCTCCAGGCCTCCATGTCCCTGGGCATGACTGTGGCATGGGATTGTGTGGCTCTTGGGTCCTTCCTGTTGGGACTGGCTTGGTGACTTCGCTCACCTGGAGCCTCTGACCTGTGATCTCTCTTTCCTACCCCTTAGGGTGCCAAGGGAGATGTGGGTGCCTCTGGAGAACAAGGCATCCCTGGGCCACCGGTAAGGGGGGGTCACCTCTCCTCAAGGACCTGTCACCCCCATCTGGCGTGTCTCTGGGTGGCGGCAGACCTAACAGAGGTTCAGTTCCCATGGCTGTCCCTCTGGGTGACTCTGGCAAGTCCCTTGCTCAGCACCCCTCAGGGGACAGAGGCTGAATGCGGGGAGTGGAGGAGGTTCCATGGGGGCACTCTGGCAGGTGTTTTTCTGTCTTCACAGGGCCCCCCAGGGGTCAGGGGCTACCCAGGAGTGGCAGGACCCAAAGGAGAAATGGTGAGTCTGGTGGCCTGTGCCCCAAGCCAGCCCTGAGACTGGCACAGCCAGGACTGATGGGCGCCTCTGCTCCCCAGGGTCCTCGTGGGTACAAAGGCATGGTGGGCTCCATCGGTGCCGCCGGGGCCCCGGTAAGTCTGCTGCTCACCCCCATTCCTCCCTCCAGGCCGGGCTTTGCCCCTGCCAAGGGGGTGCTGCTCCCCTGAGCCCCTGTAACCTGGATCATGGTTTGTCCTTACTAGGGCGAGGAAGGTCCACGGGGGCCGCCAGGTCGTGCTGGGGAGAAGGGTGATGTGGTAAGTCCTCAGCACCCCTGGGTCAGTGGGGGGACTCGGGGGCACAGGGCAGGGCTGAGCTCTGCCCCAGCTCAGTGTGTGGCTGTGTGGGGGCTTGTTTCCGTGTGTCTGGTATTACCCTGGGCCTGTGTCTGTGTGTTATTGTGTTGCCGTGTCTCTGCATGAGGTTCCTGTGTGTCTGTTTGTGTATGTCAGTGGCTGTTGTGGGGTAGATTCTGTGCAACTGTGCCCAGAACCCAGTCTGGGTACCCGCTCCTCCGCTGGATGTCCCCACAGCCTCACCGTCTGCTGTGGATGCAGTAGAGACTTCAGGAAAGGCTGGGGGGGTCTTGTCCCTCCACTGCTGGGGCCAGAAAAAAAAATTCCAGCACATCAGTCACAGAGCTCATGGGGTTTGCCCCCAGAGCCCACTTTTTAAACCCTTTTTGTTTGTTTTAATTCGTCATTCCTTTTGAACAATTTTGAGTTTATAGGGGAAAAATGTTAATGCATCATGCCAGGTATTAAACGGGCACAATAGGAAGAATGTGATACACCTCATAGATCTTCTCCCCGAATTAGTGTTTTGCCCAAATCACCTCACTCTTCCTCTTTGCTCCCTCCCTCCGTTAGTGATTGTGTTTCTGGTATCTTCATGCAAATCCTTAATCTCATGTCATTTCAGCCCTGAATAGTTCTGTATGTGTCACGTGTTGCTTACAAACAAGACCATTTCCTCAGAGTCACACATCATTATTGCACCAGCAAAATGACCAACCATTCCTTGACACTGTCCGATAACCATCTGTGTTCAGTTTTCCCCTCATCTCACTGTATCACTGTCATCCTGTTGTTCATCGATTGCCTCAAGCAGGCCCCAGTAACGTCTCCTTCGTCCTAGCCCTGAGATTTTAGAAAGTGCCACACTCGAGGCTCTATCAGGGTCAGGAGAATGAGACCCATCATTGTTACTGGTTTTTGGCATATTGAATACGCCATGGGGAGTTTGCCAGACTCTGCCGTGTGGGCAGGATACTTTTGGTAGCCTGCCAGGTTCTCCAGAGTAAGAACTAGATAATAAGATGTCAGTCAGGCGCGGATCCAAGCCTGCTTGGATTGGGACTGGGACCTCCTCCACCCAGATCCCCCTTCTTCCAATATGTAGGCATTACACCCACCAACTTCCCCTGGCGCCATGTAATCCCATCAACGGCCAAGACCCAGAGACTATAAAACCTTGCCCCTGGAAGAGAACAGCGCAGTCTCCTGCCTCCGCGCCTGGCTGTCCTCCCCTTACCTCAAAAATGCCTTTTCAGGCTCTTGTCCCAACACAGCCCAGCGCCCTCACGCTGCCTTGGAGTGTTTCTTCCGGTGAAGCTAAGAGTTTGGTGGGGGTCCCCTGACCACTGCTCCGTTCCCTGGCCCACCCAGGGTTTTCTTGGCATGAACCCTGCCCGCTTCCTGCTGGCTCCAGAGTGAATGCAGCTCTTCTGGGCCCCTTGCGGGCCCCTGCATAGTGTGGCATGTGCCATGGGGACCCCAGGCTGGGGTGCTGTTTCCGGCCTGTCCCTCGGAATGACACTCAGCCACCTACAGTGGCCTCTTCTCTGTCCATTTTCAGGGCAGCCAAGGAGCTCGAGGCCCCCAGGGCAACACAGGACCCAAGGGAGCAGCTGTAAGTGGCATTGGGCCCTGGACAGACGGCAGGTTCAGTGTCCCCTGAGGCCCTAGGAGAGGGTTGCCCTCTCTCTGGCTATTGTGGGCTGACTCTGTGGCCTCAGGAAGTGACTTTGTTTGGGGTACCTGTAAGTAGGGGGGAAACAAGAGAGGCTCAGAGAAACTCCCAGCCCTCGGGAAACCGTCACCATACAAGGGCAAGGCTGGCCTGTCCCCCCATCCTGTCCACTTCTGTTCCTCTCTTCCTGGGGCTTCCCGCCATGAGCTGGGGTAGAGCCCACTCTCAGTCTGTACCCCAGTGTCTTCTCAGATGGGGAGCTGACCTGGCCCTGGGCCTCTACCCCTGTGAGTCTCCCTTCCAACCCTCCTATGCAGGGCCCCCCAGGCATCGACGGCAAGGACGGGACTCCCGGTACTCCTGGCATGAAGGTAGGCATGGGAGGACCCACTGGGGGTGTCCAGTGCAGCCCTATCCTTGGTCCTGACCCAGAGCAAAGAGCTGGTCCCAGGTGTGTCTGACACCTCCAGGCATGTCTGACACCCCACCCCCACCCTAGGCATGTCTGACACTCTCTCTGCACCCAGGCACGTATGATACCCCCCTTCTGCCCCAAGGCATGTCTGACTCCTCCCTTCCCCCCAACCCCCCACGTCTAGGTGTGTCTGTGTTCAGTATTCTGAACAGACCTCTGAAGCACTGGTTCCCTGCCTGATGGGCTTAGGACTGTAGCACTGTAGCACTGTCCTCCCGTTGTTCATCGATTTGTTCAAGCAGGCTCAGTAACGTCTCCATTGTGAGACTTCTTGTTACTGTGTTTGGCATATTGAATACGTCATGGGGTAATTTGCCAGGCTTTGCCGTGCGGGCGAGGTACTCTGGGTAGCTTGCCGGGCTCTCCGAGAGGGGCGGAGGAGTCGAACCTGGGCCGACCGGGTGGGCTGCATGCAAGGCAAACGCCTTACCCATTGTGCTATTGCTTCAGGGCAGGTGCGGGTAAAGCCGTGCCCCTGGGCTGGAGCTCTGATTCGGACCTTTGCTCCTCTTCCACAGGGCAGTGCGGGGCAGGCAGGGTGGCCAGGGAACCCAGGCCACCAGGGCCTTGCGGTGAGTACTGGGTGGACCCTTGGGGGTTGCCCACTTGCCCACCTTGGCAAGAGTGGCTGATGAGGTCAGAGTCCACCCCTCGGAGGCCTCTGCACCCTCCCAGGCCACTGGCCTGACTGACGAGTCCTCGTTTGCAGGGTGGGTCCAGCCGTATCTTTGCCCCTTCCCAACCTCATTCCCAAGCTCATTCCTGTCCTCCATGAAGGCCAAGTGGAGCCCCACTTCCCCACCCAAGCACTGGCCAGGCCCCCATTGTTTCCAGGGAAGAAAGTTCTGGCCAGCAGGTTGGGGAGTTTTTGCAGGTCCAGGGTACTGGTGGTAGGGGGGATTGGGTAGAGGGGAGGGGAGCAGGGGGGCGGCTGTTGCCACATCAGCGCTCACGGCCTACCAGGCCCCAGCCTGCCCCTCTCTGCCCAGCTGTGCGCCTTCTCACCATGCAGCCCCGCTCTGTCCCACCCATGGAGGGACAGTCCGTGGGAGCCCTTCCCCCCGCCAGGAGGAGCTGAGCCCAGTGCTGGCAAGCAGACACAGGGCAGATCTTCCCCTGTGTATCCCAGTCCCTCCCAGGGACTTGGGCGCTGGCCACAGTCAAGGTGTGAGGCCATGAGTGGACTTTCTGCTGGTCACTCCCATGGGGAGAATCTGGATTGGGAAATTCAGCAGCGAATTCAGCAGTGGGTCCCCCAGCCAGGGGCACAAATGCATGTCAGCTTCTTTCTCCAGGGCGTGCCAGGCCAGCCCGGATCAAAAGGAGGCCCAGGAGACAAGGTGAGGTGCCCCCCACGCTGGGACCAGGGATATGGTTAAATGCAGGGCCTAGCCTCACCCACGATCAGAAAGACAACAACCAGTCCCACCTAAACAGCTTCCTGCTCCTGCCTCCTGTCTCCCCACCCTCCCCACGCCTCCTGCCTGGTGGGCACTGCTTGGCCTGGCCCTGGTCCCGGAGAAGAAGAAAGAAACAGGAAAATGCCTGAGCCTGGGGACCAGGCCAAGACTCCTCACTCTCCTCCTGCCCCATGTCATGCGGTTGCAGAGCCTTTAGGGATCAGGGCCTTCCTGGCACCACACCTAGCCAGGCCTCAGACTGACCTGAGTCGTGCTCTTCCACAGGGCGAGCCAGGACCCAGGGGCCTTCCCGGAGTGTCTGGTCCCCCCGGAAAGGAGGTAAGTCCTGCCTTGATCCACGTTCTTGTGGTGGTTTCCTCCAGCCTGAGAATTCTGTGCTCAGCAGCAGGGTCCTGGGTGAGGCTGTGGGGTGTAGCCTTAGCCTGGGGGGTCCCCTGGGTGCCACTCCAGGCTCTGCCACTGACCCACAGATCCAGGGAAACTGCCTTCTCTCTGGACCTGTTTTTTTTTGGGGGGGGGGGGTCACACCCAGTGATGTTTAGGGATTACTCCTGGTGGTGCTTGGAGGACCATATGGGATGCTGGGAATCGAACCTGGGTCGGCCTTGTGCAAGGCAAACGCCCTACTTGCTGTGCTATTGCTCCAGCCCCTGGACCTGTTTTCTTAAGTGTGGTGATGCGAGGGTGGAGACTAGCTCCATCTTGGGGTACACACTTCCTGTTTGATGGCCACTGAATGAATGGCCGTCCTTGCTTCATGCATTTGTTGATACCCACACTGTGTCCATCTATCCATTCTTCATGCATCCCACGCAGTCACCAGATAGCCAAACTGTGGTCATTCCACATTCACTCACTCCACAGTTAGATACCCACACTTGTCATTCACTCATTCCCTTCATACCCAGACCCCCACACTGTGCTGGACACTAAAGCCCTTCTCTCTCCCATGGAGACTGAGTTTCAATAGAAGAGACGTTCGTAAAGGACTCGTGACCAGGTGCGCTGGGTCTATGAAGGAAAAGAACAGGGATCCAGAGAACAGGGAAGAGGAAGACTTCCCTGACGACGCAGGAGAGCTGGGCCTCAGGTGGGAGTTAGCCAGATGTTAATGGCCCTACCACTCATCCTTATTCTGTCCCCGCAGGGAGAAGCAGGACCTAGAGGAGAGATCGGCCCACAGGGCATCACAGGGCAGAAGGTAAGATTTGAGGAGTGGCGTCTTCCAAGCACTCTGGGTCCTCATCAGCTCCTGCCCATCAAGCCCACCTGGGTGAAGCACCTCCAGACAGGGCCTGGGGGCCTGGCAGGGCGAGGCTGCCCTGTTGGCTCCTGGGTGAGACCCCTCTTTTCCATTTCAGGGGGACCAGGGCGAGAGGGGACCGGTGGGGCAGCCGGGTCCTCTGGGACGGCAGGTGAGTGCTGACTGGGGGGGAAGGTGGGGGGTAACCTGCGAGCCCAAGTGCTCACGCTTACTCACTTCTCTGGTTTCTCATCAGGGCCCCAAGGGTGAGCAGGGTCCCCCTGGGATTCCAGGGCCCCAAGGCTTGCCTGGCGTGAAGGGAGACAAGGTACCGAATGTGCTAAAAACTGAGAAAGCTGTGGGGCGTGGGGCGCAGCTCCCTAGGACCCTGGTTGGGTGAGGCAGAGGGGGTTGTGTCCAGAGCCGAGGTAGGGTCTCACTATGCCCTGATTTCTCTAGGGAGCCCCAGGAAAGACCGGACCACGTGGGGGTGTGGTGAGTCCACATCTCCCCTTTCTGCACCTATGGTGGGGGTGGGTCACAGCCTCAGCTGGGGTGGGGGTGAGGGGTGCTTCCCACTGATTCCAGGTCTCCGTCTGCAGGGTGACCCAGGGGTGGCCGGCCTCCCTGGAGAGAAGGGGGAGAAGGTGAGTGGGATGTGTGGGATGTGTGGGGGCGGGAGGGGTCGCCCGGGTTCCTGCACCCTAGCTTCTGGTGACTGTGTTTCCTCATACCTGCAGGGCGAGTCTGGGGCACCAGGACCCAAAGGGCAGGTGAGTCAGCCCTTGTCACTGGCCTTCCCCACGGCCTCCTCCTTTCACCCAGACTTGTTCAAGCTACATCCCCCCGATGCCCCCCTCGGTTCTCTCCCCCTTCCCGGCCTTGCACCCATGGGCTCTGTAACCATCATCCTGGCAGCAAGGAGTCCGCGGAGAACCCGGCTATCCCGGCCCCAGTGGGGATGCAGGTGCTCCAGGGGTGCAGGGCTACCCCGGGCCCCCTGGCCCCCGAGGACTTGCTGGAAACCGAGGCCTTCCGGGCAGGCCTGGCAGACAGGGCGTCGCGGTGAGTGACCCCCTCGGGAAGAACGTCCCCCTGGGAAGGTGCTCTCTGGGGTGCTGGGCGAATCCCACTGACTTCCCTGGGCCATATCCGAGGATGTGTGTGGGTGTGGGTGCAGCAGGAGGCTGGGGACGCCCGGGGAGCCTCAGGGGAGGAGGCCAGCCTGGGCCCCCGCAGCTTCCTGAAAGGCCTCACCTCTACTGCCAGGGCCGGGATGCCAGTAACCAGCACATCATCGATGTGGTGCTGAAGATGATGCAAGGTCAGGAGTCCACGTGCCTCTCCTCATCCTGTGGGGGCCGGGGGGGCTCCATGCAGTGCTGCCTGGGACCTCCCGTCAGCCCTGCCCTCTGACCTCTATCAGCTGAGGCTGGCCAAACCCCGAGGGCTAGTGTGCATGTTGTGTGCAGAGGCGCCCCCAAACAAACTGGGTCTGCACAGTGGGGCCAGGGTCCTCTTGATGCTCTGCCCTTCCCCCAGCTTGACCAGCCCCCCCACGTCTCAAATCATATCCCTTGGGCGATAGTACAGTGGGTAGGATGCTTGCCTTGCACACGGCCCATCTGGGTTTGATCCCTGGCATCCCTGAGTAACGACCAGGAGTGATTCCTGAGCGCAGAGCCAGGTGTAACCCTTGAACATCACCACGTGTGGCCCCAAACCCAAACCAAAAACAAAAACCCATGTCCCGCCTGTGCCCTTCCAGAGCAACTGGCTGAGGTGACTGTGAGTGCCAAGCGGGAGGCCCTGGGTGCGGCAGGGATGATGGGCCTCCCGGGCCCCCCAGGCCCTCCTGGATATCCAGGCCAGCAAGGACCCCACGGGCACCCTGGCCCTCGGGGCATCCCTGGCATCGTGGGAGCCGTGGGTCAGATCGGCAACACGGGGCCCAAGGGTAAGTGCTGGACCGGGGGGCATGGGGACTGATGGGGACCCAGCCCAACTGCCCCATCACTCAGCCCACCCTCACCCTATTTCTCATCATCCCTGTCCCTGGGGACTGGCTTTGGCTGATGTCCTCCTGTTCCCTAGCCCAGATTTCCAGAAGATACCCCTAGGCTTGGGTTCTCAGAGGCTGTTGATGGAAGTGCCATTTGATAACTTGGATTGGGGTGTTGTTCTTAGGGCTACTTAGTGACACCTCATTAAGGGAGGAGGCAGATCAGCCAAGTGTAAGTAAGGCCAGCAGGCTCTGTGGTCACTATAGACAGTGTGAGTGTCTTCCCTCAGGGATCCAGGCCAGACCACTCTCCCTGGGCTGGAACTGCCCGGGGTGTTAACAGCTCTTCCCAGGACACATGCCAGGTTCCCACAGCTGCTCCTGCTGTCCTGTGCCCGAGAGCTGCTGGGAGGAGCTTTCAGCTGTTGCCTTCTGCCCTCTGTCTCACTACGTCGTGGGCATCTGTAGCTTTGCCCTGCTACAGACCAACACCAACACGAGTAACTGCTGCACGTGCCGAGAAGAGAGAGCAAAAGAAAAGCCATCATCTTCCAGTCCTGAAAAGTCTTCTTTCTCTGCAGGAAAACGTGGAGAGAAAGGGGATCGGGGAGATGTGGGGCGTGGCCATCCTGGAATGCCGGGCCCCCCGGGGATCCCAGGTACGACCTTGGCACTGCTCAGTGGCTCTGGGGCTAGTGACCCACAGGCATGGAGCTCTCCTAGGGCCCATCCAGCTTGGTCCCCAAGTTCCTCACCTCCAGCTTCTTCTGAACCCCTTGGAGTGGCAGGGGCCCCAGGGTGGGGTCTTATTGAGAACTGGACCCCTAGCTGGGATTCTGAAATCTATCTTCCTGGGGGTCCCAACCCTGCACTGGAGGGAAAGGAAGGACATTTGCTCCCACACCAGCTGGCATGGGGAGTAGTGGACGCTCACACGTGGCTCTCAGGACTCTGGGGTGCAGTCCCTTCTTCCCGGGGTTTACTGGTCTCGTTTCTCCAGCTGGGACCAGAGTTATGACTGGGAGATCCAGTGTCTGGCTTCCCGCAGGAAGCCATAAGGGACAAGAGACTTTCTAGTCCCAGGGCGGACACAGGAGACTTGACATCTTGACTTCCCTTTCCCAGGACTCCCTGGCCAGCCTGGCCAGGCAATCAATGGCAAGGACGGAGACCGAGGGGCACCCGGGGCCCCAGGAGAGGCCGGCCGCCCTGGCCTCCCTGGCCCAGTGGGGCTGCCGGGCTTCTGTGAGCCGGTGGCCTGCCTTGCAGCCTCGGCCTACGCCTCTGCACGCCTCACCGAGCCTGGGTCCATCAAGGGGCCATGAGCACGAAGGCCCGATTGCAGGCTGTAAGCACCTGGGGGACGGCATGAAACCCAGACCATCCCGCAGCCCAGGAAATCGGCTCTCCCAGGATCTTCTGGCCGGGACTGTGGAGAAGAAAATTCTAAAACGTGGGAGAGAAAAAGGCCTGGGAATAAGACGAGGCCGACCCACCCGCTGGGGTCCCAGCTCTGAAGGGAAGCGGGTGGCAGGCCTGCTCACTGGGTGCCGCGTGGCTGTTAGGAGATGAACGTCACCTTCAGCTGCCCTCCCCCCACTTGTGGTCTCATCCTGAGGTGGGGTTGAGGTGTCTGCCAGCATCAGCTCCCCCATCTGCCCCCTGGATTTACCAGTGGGGTGACTGCTGAGACAACCAGCCTTAAGCCAATCTCCCAACTCTTCCCTCTCCCATCAAAGTATTTAAACACTCGGCCTTTCCCCTCCACACCACTCCTCTACACTTCCCCAGGTTCTTTTGTAAATAAAGTGCCCAGTGGGTCCAAACCAGGACGGGAGTTGTTGGGTGTAAGGGGACGAGGGCTTGTTGCTGGGCCTCCACTGCCTGGACAGGAAGATTGGGGGTGCTGGGGAGAACTCCCATCACATCCCACCCTGACTCCTTCCTGGGCCCCAATGCATGCACATTTAAGCAGACAAGCACATACATCCCACTGACACTACCTCAGCCCTGAGCCCCCAAACATCCTCACACCTGCTGAAGCCATCTCAGCCAGCCAGCCAGACACACACACACACACACACACACACACACACACACACACACACACACACCACACACACACACACACACAATGCCACCTCAGTCCCTTTCCTGAGACACACAGCACATACATCCCATCAATGCCATCTCAGCCACATACCCCAAACTTTATGCACATAAACCCCTGCCATTTCTGTCCCTTACGAGTCCCAGGACAGGCAGGAAGAACAGGAGTGTCACTGCATCCTGAATCCCACGGGGACCCTGAGGAGGTAGGGCTGTGAGGACAGGATGATGACATTCCTCACCATCAGAGGGGCTGCCCCTTCCCTCGACTGAATCACCTGTCCCCAGACAGGAAACCTGGGCTCAGGAGCCCTCTCCTTCCTGGCTGCTTCCATGAGACCTGAACTCTCTGCCTACGCTCTGACTTCCTAAAGGTGACCACCCAGCCCTAGGTGGAGTGATACCTGAGGGACTCAGGTTTTGGAAGTTGTGCACAGGGCCTGATTCCTACAACTGCCCGCCAGGTGAATTAGTACTTTATCACTGTCCCCCCGTTGTTCATCGATTTGCTCGAGCGGGCCCAGTAACGTCTCCATCATGAGACTTGTTATTGTGTTTGGCATATCGAATACGTCACGGGAAGCTTGCCAAGGCTTGGGCCCTCTGAGAGGGGTGGAGGAATCGAACTCGTGTCGGCCGCGTTGGCCGCGTGCAAGGCAAATGCCCTACCCGCTGTGCTATTGCTCCAGCTGCAAGTGAATTGCACTAGGAAAAACCCACATCCTTCCTGTGACCTGTAATTTCCTGTGAGCTTCTCGGCCCCCATGAGTTTCATGTCTATGTCTGGATCTGGTACATTCCGCTCCAGCTACACCCCTTGGCCTGGCCCTCTGATCTGCACTTGGAATGCTCTTTTCCCAGATATCCTGGCCTGCAACTTCGTCTCAGGTCTTTGCTTAGGAAGTAGCCTTCCTAGGGCAGCATCTGGCTTTGTTGTGGTGCACAGGCCTTGCGTGTGCAAGACCCTGGGTTGGGTCCCTTGCACTGTCACCACACAGTGTGGGATCCTGGGATGGGTCCTTGCACTGCACACACAAAGCAGCCTCACCCCTACCCAGTCTTCCAGATATGCCTGTTGTGTTTTATCTTTTGTCCTTAACACTAACTGCTCTTCAACATATAACAACATATAAGCAGTCCTGACCTCACAGGACCTTAGGATGTGCTGGGGGCATTATTGGTCTCTTGTCCACTTGCTCAGGAGATCCTCTTTCCTGGAAGTCATCTTCAGTGCAGAAGACCGAAGCTTTCTGTCCCTCCTGCTCATGACTCTGCCTCTCCAGCCAGCCGTGTGGAGCTTAGCACAGAAATTATTTGCTCACATCATAGTAGTCTTGTTTTTTTTTTTATTTTTTGCCACGCTTAGTGGTGCTCAAAGCTGACTCCTGCGCTCAGAGCTGACTCCTGGCTAGTTCAGGGGACCATATGGGGTGCCGAGGATCACACTGGGTCAGCTGCATGCAAGTGCCCTACCCCTGAACTACTGCTCTGGCCCGACATTAATCAATTTGTGGTGGTGGTGGGCTGGGCCACATGCACCTCTGCTCAGGGATTACTTTATGGCTCTATACTCAGGGATCATTCCTGGTGGGCTCAGGGGTGCCAGGAATCCAACCATACCATATGGGGTGCCAGGGATCCAAGCAGGGTCAACCACGTGCAAGGCAAGTTCCCTATCTGCTGCACTATCTCCAGCCCTTACAGTGGTCTTTAAGCTGAAGTGTGGGTACAAGTTCTCCATAATGTTCCTTTTAAGACCTAGGCAGAGTTTAAGGCTCTCACATGGAATTTAGTAAGCTTTCTGCCAATGATAAAACTCAGAACTGGCAGAGCTACACAAAGTAGTCCGTATGTACAAAAATGTGGAACGATCTAGCAAAAACGAGCAAATGGAGGAAGGCTTCTCCACGAAGGGCAACACTATGTAAAAGATGAGAGGTGACTGAGACTCTTAGCGGTGAAAGCCAGAAACATCTTTGGTAGTAAAATCACTGAACCAATCCCAGGAATTCTGTTGCTGTCCTGCACAGGTGTCGACTTTACAATGAGATTCTGCAGGGAGTCAGTAAGGGCAGCACGAATGCCCAGCAGAGACTGCTCCCCTTTAGAGACCCACCGAGCACCTTAGAGAGAGATTAGCATGTTTTAAAAGGCCTTGTCCAGGGCTGGAGCAACACCACAGCGGGTAGGGCGTTTGCCTTGCGCGCAGCCAACATGGCTGATACAGGTTCGATTCCCAACATCCCATATGGTCCCCCGAGCACCGTCAGGAGTGATTCCTGAGTGCATGAGCCAGGAGTGACCCCTGAGCATCGCTGGTGTGACTCAAAAAGCAAAATAAATAAATAAATAAAATAAAAGGCCTTGTCCTCCTCAAGGCTGTGCCCTGTACAGCCTTGAGTCTTCCTGGCAGAGTACACCTCATTTTCGCCCTGCTTGGCCTCTCTACTCCTTTCTCTTAATTAGTCATTATCTCAGGAAACTACCAGAACTCTCTGGCCACCTCTATGCCATAAACTAGAGGGATTAGGTTCAAAGAATCACATATTAGGCTGCAGAAATAATATTGGGGGTGGTGTTTTGGGAGAAGGGGTTTGCCTTGCCTTGCATGAGGCCAACGCTGGTTTGACTCCCAACACTGCCAGAAATGACCCCTGAGCACCACCAGGTGTGGCCTACAATGACACCCCCTCCCCAGTGGCTAGGCAGGTGGCATTATGGAACTTTGGGTTTGATCCTTGACACCAGAGCTCCTGGGCATCACCAGAGTTATCCTCAAAGAGTTCATCACACATATAAGGACTGAACAAGACAGCTGGGCAGCCCAAATCAGAGACTACGAAATGGATGTGTAATGATGGGAATGAAGCTCGTGGACAATCTGAGGCTCTGGAGAGGAGCATGAGGAAGTGCTGACAGGGCTCCACGGCACAGCTCACAAATTAAGACAAAGCACATCAGTCTGCATTGGCAATTTTTAATGTTTCATTTGTGCAGAACTGAAATTTGTATTTAAAGGCACAGAAGGAAGAAAAGGCAGTTGTCACAGCATGAATTCACAGATAACGGATGCTGGATAAAATCATAAGCCTTGGGAAAGTAAATAATGCAATACCAGGTTCACGTTTATTTTATTGTTTTTCCATGTAAAGGCATCACCCAAATATCAGACAAGCAGAAGTCTCTTCCGGATACAGAGGGAGACAGCTCAGCCCACTGGGATCAGTGCCCAGTACATAAACATTACCAGCAATTGGGGGCCCCAGGCACAAAGGAAGTTTCAGAAAGTTGATAAAGATTTGAAGCAAACATTCAGCTTCAAAGTGGTAAAAGACATATTGCATGACACTCGTTTTGGAAAAAAAAATCTGCATATCAAGAACTGTTTCAAAACCACTCTCAGGCCTGATTAAACAGTATTTCTGATTAAACTGCTGAAAATTACAAAAATAAAAATGGAAACTCTTCTGCCCTTCAAGCAATAGAAAACTATATTTTCCCTGTAGTATCATAGGAGAATCATCAATATTTCACCCTTATGCCTTTTAAAATGTCACTTCTTTTTACATTATCACTTTTAAAATAGCAATACCTATACAAGATGGCAATTTCTGGATACAGTTCATAAGATAAAAGAGTAAACGAGAAAAAGCTGAATGTCTTGAAAAAAGTACTAGTCTAGCCGTAAATATGCAGAGGTGGAAAAGAAGTCTAAGATTTTCTTTAGAAGCAAAAACAAACCCCAAAGAGTTCAAACATCTGATACATAATTCTTCCTCATTTCAAAGCACTCTTAGAAACCCCTGATCAGTACACTGTAAGAGAGGAAATGGAGACACTTGGTAGAGCAGACAGTGTAATAATGAGTTCCAATGAAATAATATTAGCCTTTGTAAATGATCTTTCTTCCTTACTTAAAACACTGATTGGTCAAGTTAAACCATGACAGCATGGAAGTTAGAACAAGTCTCATCCCCAGAGCAAGCACAAGGCCTGGGGGCAATGTTCCCGCCACCAGCCAGTCTCAGAGGAGAAGCTTGGGCTTCAACATGCCTCCAGCACCTCATATGCAGACTCCATATAGGTGTGGGAGTAAAAAAAAAGCTCTGAATTTTCTCAAATCACTTGACAAGTTGATGGCAAAACAGATGTTAAAGATAAAACTATGCCTTTAAAAACATTAAGCCCGAAGATTTCATCTAATATTTTCTTTAAGAAATGGATCATTAAAATCATTTTTGAAATGAGATACTAAATGTATTTAATTCTGGACTTTTCTTAATAATTTTTCTTAAAAAAAAAAAAAAGTTAAAAAACATCAAGAGCCGGAACATGCTGCCGGGACACAGATAATCACCAATGTCTTCGGCTGCAGACCCTGGACAACTCAATCTTCTTTTGACGTTTTCAAAGCCTGAAGTCTCTCGAGGAGCGGAGGGTGGGAGTAATGCCACATTGAAAAGAGCCAGTCAGAAACGGGGAATCCCAGATTGTCTTTGTTTAGTTTGATTAAAGCAGAATATAAGTCTTTGGCCTTCCCAAGCTTCTTGGCAAACGCATCCGCTTGAAACTCAAATCTGCGGCTCAAGACTGTTAGGCTAAAAGAAAGAACCTGAAAAGGTAAAGAAAAGGGTGTTAACCTCTGCCATCTCTGTGATCTTGCTGAAGGTGTTATGAACTGAGACTGCAGAGGAAGTTAGGCTGGGGTCAGAGAAACAGGA